AACATTTGTTTTTTTCCTTCCCCTCCACAAAAAGCTCCATATTTTCTTTTCTTTTTTTTTTTTTTGCTGTTTTTAAGTATCTTCTACATGAATTTCTGTATCCATTTTTATATTGTGTTAGGAGAAAAACAATATTCTTTTTTTTTTTGGGGGGGAGTCCAGTCATCAGGCCTGGGCACTGACTGTCCCTCAGCTCTTCAGCTCAAGGCTAGCGCTCTGCCACTTGAGCCACAGCGCCACTTCCGGCTTTTTTCTTTTCTGCTTATGTGGTGCTGAGGAATCAAACCCAGGGCCTCAGGCATGCAAGGCAAGCGCTCTACCACTGCGCCATCTTCCCAGCCCAACAAGATTCTTAAAGTGAAAAATAATCTGTATATTACAATATCATTAATATTTGTCCAAACCCATGGGACATACAACTGGAAGAATAAACTAATGTAAACATAGTTTATTTATTTTATAAATATATATTTATATTTTTATTTTATGTCATCTTTTAGTGATTATGTGTCAATGTAACTTCTATCAATTATAACAAATGTACTATTCTAGTAGGGTTGTTGATAAGGGGGATACTATGTGTGTAGGGGTAAATCTCTATACTATACTGAACTTTCCTGCTTTTTAAAATAATTCCGGCAGGGCACCAGTGCTCATGCCTGCAGGATCCTGGTTTGAACCCAACTGAGGCAGAAAAGTCCCCATGAGACTCTTACCTCTAATTAAACACTCAAAAACCAGAAGTGATGCTGTAGCTCAAGTGGTAGAACATTAGCCTTGAACATAAAGAGGTTCAAGGACAGGGCCCAGGCCCTGAGTTCAAGCTCCACAACTGACCAAAAAAAAAAGAATCCTTAAAAACAAAAAGGTTGGTGGTTAGAGCTGTGGTAGATCACTTGCCTAGCATGTGCCAGGCTCTAGTTTTAATCCCCAGCACCAACAAATAGCCACAGAGTAAGATTTCATTAAGGATTAGGATAAAAATAATAAATCTGTCCATTTAGGAATATGTTTTATTTAAGTTATTCAGGTCTTCCTTTAAGATCCCTTCAATAAAGTTATACCATTTTCTTCAATATAAAATTTGTTCACCTCTTATCTCAGGTCCTTGATGCTATTACAAGTTGGGACTTCATTTCTATTGATTTCTGAATAGTGTTGCTATATAGAAAAGATGCTGGCTTCCTAGGCTGCTCTTTCATCAACTCTAAACTCCTGTTAGGTCCAAATCTATCAGACACACCTATCTTTAGAGTTGAATCATTATTTAATTTTTAATTAAGAAAGGATATTTTGTTGTTGCTGAGGTTGGAGGTGTGTGTGTGTGTGTGTGTGTGTGTGTGCGTGCGTGCGCACGCGCACACATGCGTGTATGCATACACACGTGTACACGTGTCACCCCCAGTACTAGGGCTTGAACTCAGGGCCTAGACACTTTCCTTTAGCCTTTTCTACACAAGGCTAAGCATTCTACCAGTTGAGCCACAGTTCTACTTCCGGCCAAGGCCACTGCATAAGAAAAGGGGAGAAAAGGAAAGTCGATGCCTTTGTCTGATTCTTTCCCTATCTCGGTTTAACTCCCACAGGCCTTGGGTGAACACGTTTCCCCCTAATTTATTTTTAAGTTTTGAATACTGCATCCTCCAACGTGTTTCCATAGCTTCTATAGCTTCCAGAAAAAGAAAAAAAAAAAAACTTCTTCCAGATCTACATACATTTCCAAAGGAAAAAGGTGTAATCATGAAAAGAAAAAGGAGGAGGAGAAAAATTTTGCTGTTTTCAGAGTTTACTCAAGAGATTTCAATAGTTTAAATCTTACTGCCTATCTATTTCAAATATTACTATATACCATCTTGAATTTCAATACCTGCTAAAATTTTACCAAATAGTTTATAACAGATACATGTGACATTCTTTTAGGAACAGGAGTTAGGGAAATAATTTTTCAATACCTCTGGAAAAGTATTTGATTTTCTTTGAAGAATACTAAATTTAACTCTGATTCTATTTTCTTAAATTCTCAAAATAAGCTCTACGTAAGAGTCTAGTAAAATGATTCCAGTGAAAATCTAAAAAAGAATATGCTCAGAGGCTCATTTTTTAAAAGTGATCATGGAATTTGAACTCAGGGCCCTTAAGACTATCAGGCAAGTGCACTACCACTTGAGACACATCCCAACCCCTCTTTGCTGTAGTTATTTTTCCAAATAGGGTTTGATCTTTTTGCTGAGGGCCAGCTTGGATCAGGACCTTCCTCCTCCCATGAACCTCCTCATGTACCTTCCTCATCACATTGAACACTACAGGCATCCACCCCCACACCAAACCCTTGAATTGACACTTTGTAGACATAAATATTTCCTAAGTTTCTTTGATTATGAACTTAAGCACATAAAATTTTCTTTTGTCCTTGCAATGAACACTGGTTTTAATAGGAAACAGCAGAGTAAAAATTTTCCATGTTATAGGAGAAGTTATTACCCAAAGTTCATAGCAGACTCAGTAGATAAGCAGGCTTTAATTTATAGAGAAACTTAGCTATGAATTACTTATATGAGACTTGGCACAGAACTTAACGTACACACAATCAAATTCCAAGTATTTTCCCCAATCATAATAGGATATAACTTCATCAAGATGTAAATTCTCTCTGCTTTGTTCCCAACCCAAAACAACTAGGCTTTAGTTAAGAATAGGCACATGAGAAATGTCCCCATTGCTTTTTCACAATAGTTCATGCTAGTGAAAAGGCCATAGTGTGGGAATTATGAAGACAGGATTCAGAGAAAGCAGTAGAGGCCCTTAAAAATCACAGAGATGGGGGCTGGGAAGGTGGCTCAGCGGTAGAGCGCTTTCCTTGCATACATGAGGCCCTGGGTTCAATTCCTCAGCACCACATAAGCAGAAAAAGCCAAAGTGGCACTGTGGCTCAAGTGGTAGAGTGCTAGCCTTGAGCTGAAGAGCTGAGGAACAACACCCAGGCCCAGAGTTCTGGCCCCATGACTAGAAACAAAAAAAATCACGGGACACCAAACCTAGTCACATGCTCTGAAACTGGAAAAGTTTCAAAACCAGACTGAAACTGTGTTCACTGTCTAGTCTGCCTGAAAGTTCAGGAGCTGAAGATCATTTATATTTTTATTTCCCATGAGCCTGGACTTGGTTAAAGAGAATGGTAGATATGTTTTGAAAGACTGTCACTGCATAGGGAGTTTTGGCTTGAAGACCCTGGCTCTGAGCAAAAAACTCAATGGTTTTTTGGCCTCTCCAGCCTAATAAACAGTTTAGGCTCTAACTTTATGCTGAAAATTACAACAACTTCTAAAGAAACAAATAACAAAGTTCCTAGAATTAGTGTCTGATGAGCCAAAACTGGGAAAAAAAATTAAAGAGCTTCCAGAAAACTAATGAGAAAGACATTTTGGCTTTGATGCAACAAAGGATGAATGTATCCTTGGAAAGAAATGATGTGAATGAAAATTTCTCCATAGTAACAATTCCAATTAATTATTTGAAGCTAAGGGTTCATTATCTAAGATTATGAGCTATATAGTCTCCTGTTCATATCGTTCAGATCAAGATTATTTTCTTCTTTGTATCTGCCTACCCAGGATTAATGAGAATCTCATAATGGAAACTTAATGGCAATCTTAAAGACTCTACTTTCAAGGCGAGTTTGCCATTTTGAAGACTTGGTTTAAGGACAATTAGTAATAAAACTTTTGTTTAGGTTCCAAATAACCAAAACATTTACTTGAGTCTCTTATAAAAGTATGAGAACATATCAAAAGGAATTTCAGAAAATGGAAACAGGAGTTTTTTCCTTTGTTGCTGTTTTTATTTTTGTCTTGTTTGTTCATTTGCCTGTCTTTGTAGGGGTAAGGGGGGCAGAGACATGGAGGGACAAAGGGTGAACAAATATAGCAGTGGTACTCACTGACGTCACTATGTTGAAAATGAGCTGTACAACTTGTGGGTGAGGAGGGATGGAAAAACTGGGAGAAAGCGAGGGAAGGAGTGACATTGTCCATAAAGAAATGTTCTTTTACCTGATTTATATAACAACCCTTCTGTGTCACCTTTAAAATAAAAAAAAAACTCCCAACTTCCAGAAAAGAAAGTATGAGAACAACAGCTGATTACAATATTCCTACCAAGAATTACAGGATTTTTAAAAATGAAATTATAATTTGGTGATGGTTCAGTCATAAATGTACCTATGCATATTTTCACCAAAATTAAAACAAAGGATTATTTGACTAATGGTAATGCAAAACAAAAAAGGATATACTTTCCAGCAACAATGGCTAATTTGAGTTTATAGAGTGCAATGTATCATTTCAGCAGAGTTGATGCCTACTGGCAGATTTTTATCATGCAATACAAATAGGCAACACATCATTTTCCTAGCAAAGGAAACAGGAGTATAACACTGCGTGGTCACCAGAATAATCCTGGAAGAGGTTATCACATGGAGTGTAATGCTGTTGGGGTCCATGTGCACCAGAACACTACAGACAGGAATGAAACCAAACCAAATCAAGCAGCTCTCCTCATAATGAAAACTAGAAGTCTGGCATTAAGTAGGGCTGCACCTGTTAGGAGTAAAATTTGATACTCAAAAACATGAGAAGCAGTCAGTCAGCAGTTGGTCACACATATAAACTGCAACTGCATGTGAAACAAGGGAAAGGGCTTTCGAGAAATCAAATTCTTGAACACACCTGATATCCCTCCATGTCTTTAACTTTGCCTCTGGATCTGAATGACCTGTTAAAATTATGAACCTTCAAAGTCTTCTGGGGAAGGATTCTGTTCATAACCTACACTCAATTTTCAAACAGAAACACACTGGGTTTCTCACGTCCTCTAGGATGTTGTCAGTTCTAACATTCTATGTCACACTCCCAAAACAATACATCCACTTAGCCTGGAGCAAGCAGGGCCAGCTTGCCCAATACTGCTTGCCACCCTTGCTCCATTTCTTCTCACATACATACCTGTTTCCTTCTTGCTTCCCTTTCCCCCCTCTCGGCTCTTCTTCAGCACAGCCTTCAACATTTTCAACACTCTTGTCTCTACAGAGAAAATGGGAAGAGAAGAAAAAAGGTTGGAAATGTTCGTGTACTACTTTCATATTAACCTAAGAGAAAACTGTGTTCAAACAGATTCCTCAGGATAATGTAAAGGCACTTCGAGTTTACTATGAATAAGCCCTAGTGGGAAACTACATGCTTTATAAACTTTTAATGAAGTGATCAGAAGTTCACTGTCTTGTTATAAAAGTTACAAAACAACACAATGGTGCATTCTCAGCATTCCCTATCTAATTAAGGTTCTGAGGCTAAACCTGGGTCCATTACTGTAACATATTTGGCACTGTAATATGGTCTCCCAACCCAAGTTCATCAAAAGAAGACATTAAAACATGAAATAAAAAAGATAATGGTTAAGAAGAAGCTACGTGGTTAAAGAAAATGTTTTACAGGTGCAACTAATTTTATAAGCACAAGGAAAACATTTTGGAAGGTTATGGGAACATAACAAACCTTACAAGTATTTGCAAAATAAATAAAGTGGGAAGATATTTTAACCCTGATGTCAGGAGACCCTATTAAACAGCACATACTCCTATATGTTTGTGCTATATATAGTTATGATTTCGGGTGGGAAAGGGAGGTGAAAACAAGCCTGTGGCATTATTGCAGAATCCCTTGAAAGAATGAGCTGCATTTTGAGACTTATAAAAACAACACAATGGCCCATGCCTAAGATGAAACAGGAAACCATCCCTACAAAAAGAAATAGACAATAGCACTATTATTTAATCATGAAGCTGCTGTCCTTTCTCTCTCTGTTCCCCCACTAACTCACATGACAGCTGGAAAACCACAAACACTAACAAATCCTACTGAGTTGTGTAACCCAATACACTTATGTTGATGCATTAATAGAGAAAAATAGAAGGCAAGTGGGTTGCTGGTGAACAGACATGGGGTGGAGGAGGAGAAAGAAGCAAGGGGGGAGGATACATGGGGTGGCAGAAGAGAAAGAAGCAAGGGGAAAGAGATATGGGGTGGAAGAGGAGAAAGAAACAAGGAGAAAGAGAGGAACTTAGATGGAGGGTTCCAATGTCCTGGGTGGCACAACCAGTACCATCTCTCAACCCTTAAAATAAAGCAGAAAGTTTGGAGGGGCCCACTGAGAAACCTCCCTGGGCTACCATTCATAGAATCACAAATTTAAGCAGCAGGGTGACCCTTTTGTATCCTGCAGTAACAGGCCAGTATTTATTTTTCCAAGCTTTTTGTTTCCCCGATTAAAAAAAAAAAAAAGCAGAGACCCTAGGAGTCTGACTTGCCTCGGGGTCACTCAGCTAATTAACAGAAGGGTCAAGATTCAAAATCTGCAGAGTCCCAGCAAAGGTTTGCTTTCCTCCTATTTATTCCACTGCTCTATCAGCTAGCTGGCTGCTGGCCTCTCCTCTCAGATCAATGAAGGCTTTGGGCAAACAAATAAAACTGAGATATGTAAGAAAGATAATATTGGAACTAGAATTTGGAGAAAGTCATACTGCTTATTCCATTTAAAGAATCTTACAAACGAGTCTTCATACACAAAAGAAGCATGGCCCTAATTCTGTTTTGAAAATGTTATATAAGCTGGCATCGGTAATCCTAGCTACTTAGGAGGCTGAGTCTGGGGATCATGGTTCAAATCCAACTCAGGTACAAAAGGCTGTGATGTGAGACTCTAATCCCCAATTAATCACCAGAAAACTGGAAGTGTATCGGTGGTTCAAAATGGTAGAGTGCTGGCCTTGAGTGAAAAAGCACAGGGATAGCAACCAGATCCTGAGTTCAAGCCCTACAACCAACAAAAAGAAAGAAAAAGGATGAAAGAAAGGAGAGAGAAAGACGAGGGAGGGAGGGAGGGAGGGAGGGAGGGAAGAAAAATGCTACATAAATGGGCTCTGGTTGGAAAAAAAAAGTTTCACCTAAAGAACCAAATTAAAGAATCAACATAATATAGAATCTGGAAGAGGGCACAATTTGCTTCCATATGGGAGACCTATGAAAACAAATTTCTCTTAATAGGCTTAAAGAAAACAATGAAAATTCTATGGTATAAAAACAGGGAGGCAAGCTAGTAGCACACTATAATTCTGGCGTTCTGGGAGCTGAGGCAGGAGGATAAGAGTGTGAGGGCAGCGCAGAGTAGTACCTAGATAGATCCTTTCTCCAAAATAATAATAAAAAGATAGGACGAATTAAGCAAATACAGTATTTATAGCAGAGACATTTTCCTCTTGAAATCAACCTTTCAGGGTTGAAATTTATTGGACTATACACACTTTTTTGTTGGTGGTAGAGGTGGTCTTGGAGCTTGAACTCAAGGGCTGAGCTCTTGGCTCAAGGCTAGCACTCTATCACTTTGATCCATAGCTCCACTTCTAGTTTTCTGGAGGTTAACTGGAGATTAGAATTGTAAGGTTTTAGGCAAAGAAAGAACATGCAGGAAGTAAAGGTAAAGGAAGGAAAGTTTATTGGGGTACACTCCTGGGTGAACTCCCTGGTCGGAATCAGAGAAGTTGCACAGTCTGTTGCAGCAGGGTTTATATGGCTCGGGTCAGCAGGAACTTTTAGCATGTAACTTGTTTTGGGAGTTTGAACAGTTTCGGACTAGTGCTCCTGAAAGGAGAGGACAATTGGGACAGGTGCTATATAATTGGGACAGGTGGTGTATAAGGAAGTGGCTTTTCTCAGCTGCCTCTGCCCTCCAGCGGCCTTTCAAGAGTCTCATGGATTTCCCTGCCTCGGCTAGCTTTGAACCATAATCTTCAAAAATCTCAGCCTCCTGAGTAGCTAGGATTACCGGTGTGACCCACTGGCACCCAGCTATCACACTTTTAAAAGAAAAATATCAATAGAGCCATGCCATAGCTTGTCCAAGGCCCTTTGGACACACGGTTGTGGCTCCACCAGACCCTACTGGGTCTTTGGCTTTCTAACTAGCTCAGGCCCCATCACATCTATGATGCTTCTGGGATTAATCACCCAATCTTCACCAATTTGCAGTAGGCTACTGTCTCATTCACTCAAAACACACATGCCACAGGGCAAGGACATGGTGACACTGACTTTGGTTCTTTATCCCAGGCACCTTGCTTATGTTAGGGAGCTCAGCTGTTTTCAAGCTAGTCACATCTTCCACATCAGTGGCCTTGAGTTCAGAGAAAGAGGCTATCAAATATCTGCCGTAATTCTTTTCTTCCAGTGCCTGCTTCCATCCATAAATAGCAACTCAAGGGGAAAGCTTAAATTTTATTCTAAAAGCTATTCAAACAGTGACCTGTATTGGTTATACCTGTATTGGTTATACCTGAATGCAAAAAGAAGGATCCTACCTCACCTTAGAATGTAGACATACCACATACAAATAAGAGGGAGAAAAGTAAGACTTCCTAGTAAGTTTAGTTCTAAAGTTAACAAATAGCCAATGCCACTATGCAAAGTCACCAGGAAGTCCCAATCATCTGTAGTCCCAAATCTATAACTACAATGTGATATTCATACTGAAGATTGTGCTCCTTTGGAGGGGGATGGAAAAAAGAGCTGCTATAATAGGACAGAGAAACAACATTGCATCTGCCCGAGAAGACGGTCTGGAATACTTGACAGTGTCCGTGAGCTTAGAAACACACAAACTCCATATGCAGTTCTGGAAATGGATGCTTGGGCTATCAGAACTGGAAGCTATTAAACATTGGTGAATATAACTACTTCCTCTTGTTCTGATGGGTCTTCACCAAGAAGCACCTAATAATCTGGCTCCTTTCTTAGCCTGCCAAAAGTAGAGAGCATATGCCGGTTTAGTTAACACACTGTTCTGGCTTGCTGTCAGATACCATTCTGGGAATAAATTAATAAACCAGTGTTCTGGCTTTAAACAAAAGCCCAAATGAACTCTGTTAAAGGGAGCCAGTCATTTTGGCAAGTTTCATCCATTAAAGACATAGAGAATAGTCTGTTTCTGACCCCAGTTTGAGACCAAAAGGAGAACAGCATAAATTCTTCAATGACAATGATGCCAGGAAGAAGACCTGTGAGTGAGGTCAGAAGGCACACCCCAAATGCACTCTCTGCTTCAGCAATACTTCCTTTACAGAAGCCATGTACGCTACTGTCATTCTCCTGCTGAGAGGGTGAACATAGACCTGTCATGAATAAGAACCAAATAGAAATGATCTAAACCAGACTTCTGTATGCAGTGATTCAGACCAACTGATTAAAGCCCAACACACTGAAAAAGAAACTGCCACAAGCAATGGGATTGTTCCTGTAGTATTATGAATATAGTACTATGAGCAAGTACTTGGGGACAAGGATCACAGAATAAAATTAAGAATGGTTGTCCTTTATTATGTTAAATATCAAGCTACAGACTAAAAACATAGGTATAAAACTAGCCAAATAACAATCCCTCAGCTACTGCCTCACAAAATCTTAGCTTCAATGGCAAGTAGAATGAATTTAAAGTTGGACTCATTCTTAAGTACATATTTTTCAGCCAGGAACCAGTGACTCATGCCTGTAGTCCTAGGTACTCAGAGGAAACAGATTTTACAATCACAATTCAAAGCCAGCCTTGGGAGGAAAGACCATGAGACTCTTACCTCCAATTAACTCCCCCCCCCCACATACACAAACACACAAAACACATATATTTCAAATCCAGGCATGGTAACACACATCTATTATCCTACTATTTCAGACACTGAGGTAGAAAGATGTCAAGTTCAACACCAGTTTAGGTTACACAGTGAAATCTCATTTTTTAAGATAGAATATATGTTTCAAAATACAGAGATCATCTGTTATAAGTTTATACACTTTGAGGGCTGGGGTACAGTACAGGGGTAGAGCACCTGCCCAGCAAGCTTGAGGTCCTGGGTTCAATACACAGTCCTATGAAAAACATAGAAAATAAATGATATTCATTTGAGGAAGAATGTTGTATGCAGGGAGTATTTTTCTCTGCCATTACAAGCATCATGGCTGACACCTCTGTAACAAAG